AAGTGACTTATCAAGTGGATAAGATGAATATAATCACCAATTATCTTTTCTTTCTGTATTAATAGTATCAAATCGTGGCGTATAGTAAAAGTTTGGTCAGATAAGGTGACGAAATTTGACAACATCATACTACAGTATTAGGTCTATTATCAGCAGTAGCTCTATACATTAATCTTAGGCATGTTGTTTTCAAATAAATAACTTTCTACAAAAAGTCATATTTTCTACTGTTCAATATATGTTACGGACACACCAAATTCTTAATCTAAAAGCTCACTAGTTTGGGGATCTAGTTTTGATTTTAGGTTAATAGTGTGGTGTTGATGAAAATATTTTTGTTTACTAAAAGCATAGTCTGGGTCTTTTGCAATATATCTACTCTCCGTGTGCGGAGAAATTCTCGTTTTCCACTATACATCACGTGGAGATCATGCACTTGAAAGGAGAATGAATCTGATTGGATGATGACACTCAAGCTTGTTTGATATTATAAATCCAGTCGGCAAAACCATAATACTTTCGTGGAAGAGCAGACACAAACGAGATTCACCTAAATATATATTTTTTGCATTTTTCATCTTGCTTTATATATCCCCAAACCCAGTTTGACTTATTTGCATAATTTGATCCCAACATTTTCACGCTAGCATATACAGTTTCCTCCTGTTACATCCGCTGTACATTCCCTTCTAACCCCAAGTTATTTTCATTATGCTCCCCAACTACAACAACCACTGGCAAGAAGCCAGAAATAGAAACACTAATCGTCAACCAAACCAATATCACGTACCCTACAACGGCCCTGTCTTCCATCGACCTCTACCACCTACCAATCGCCGACCACCAACCAACCCATCCAGCTATATCCCACCCCATCGCCGACCTACCTACAACACACCTCTCTACCAATCAAGAGGTAACCATCGACCTGACCAACAACAGAAACGACTACCAGCCCACCGACGCCAACCAGTCCCCACTCATAAGGAGGAAGAACCCTTTGTGAAGGTGATCTTCCAAGTTTTGCAGTGCATCCATCATTTGGCAACCCTTACCCTTCAACAGCAAGGCCAACCAGCGTTTACCTTCAAACGCAAAGTCTCTGAGTTGGATAGTTTTATCCGTCCAGCAATGAAAACATCAGCTGTCGACGCGAATATTAGATCCCTCAATCGGACATGGCTCTGTAAGGTTACGCAGGTCCTGATCGACCATTACCAAACCACACTTCAAGAGAAGCTGACCACCATTCGTACCAAGTCTTTATCATCACCTGCCGTCGACCGCATCGTTTCTCATGCCCTGTCCTGGGCCCGTCGCTCCTATGGGAAACGTCTCACTCAAGCTGTAATTTCCAAATTCTACCAAACAATCAACGAAACAAAAACAAAACCAGAGTAACCATATCTCTACCAACTGAAATGGACACTACACCTGCACCATCTAGAGCTACCACGCTGCCGAACCAAACCCCTAAACGAGCCCGAAGTTCACCTACCCCTAGTCCAGCAGACATAGGTAAACGCTCTCGTAGAGAGGGCACACCCCTTCTCTTTTCACTTTCAGACTCGTCTTCCCCTTCCACACCATCTGAATCTTCACCACGTGATCCAGGATCCGCCAACCTTTCTTCCTTCTGTGCGTTTTTGGACCAGCAAACCACCCCTCAGTCTCCATCCAAGTCGAGACATGTATCCAGACCTTCCCCTCCTCGAACCAGATCCCAGTCCGTTCCCAATGCTACAATTCTAACAACTACCAAACCAGTACCAATCACACCGTCGACGACCATTATTATATCCGCTACCAAACCGTATTATCACCAAACCAAGGACAAATCATTATGGAAACTACCTGCTCTAAAGAAATCAACCTTAATAATTGGATCATCTAACCTGAATCGAATTACCAAAACCAGTTCAGACACCGAAATACATTCTTACCCCGGTGCCCAAATCCATCACATACAGTCAATCCTGGAATCATACGACCATGATCCCAAACCTACTACCATTATTCTTCATGTAGGCCTCAACAACCGTGATCAGATACCAAAGACCTCCTTTAACCAAGCCCAGAAATTAATCGCCACAGCCAACAAAACCTTCCCAAACTCCAAGATCCTCTTCACATGTATACCCATTTCAAATAAAATCTCGAAGAAAGCACAACACAACCTCAGCACCCTCAACAACATGATGATGGAGTCCAGTATCAACAGCGCAACAATCTTACCAACCTACGAAGAAGAATTCGAAACAGTTGATAATCTTCATTGGTCTCCAGAAACAGCAAACAGCATTTATTTGTTTTGGATACACCAGCTTCAAGCATCGAGTAAGTCTTTAAACTAATTACTGGGGATAAAAATACTGAGAGGCCACCGCTAGGCCAAACTGTAGTTAACTTGAGCCGCAAAATTCTCACACCCCTTCAGCATTCAATCCTAGACCGTGGACTTAAGTTTATTCCCACACCAAAGATAGCTAACTTGAATTATCTCCGACCATCCATTGAACGATTTCAACGAAATCTTAGCTGCACATATTTTTTCGAAACCACCCCCCACGTGGTGCTAGAACAATGTTTATTCCTAAATCCACGTGGACACCCCCTCAGGCCGCCATCCATTCTGAAATATTGAAAGCATTTGCTAGTATGAATAGCCAAACAGTGAACCTTTCCATAACACACGAAAAGCCTAATCTCACACGAGTGGAACGTGAAGCGTTAAACTTACTTAAGAAAGACGATAGCATTGTTATTAAAAAGAGTGACAAAGGTTCATGTTGTGTCATTCTGAATAGGGAGGATTACGTTTCAGAAGCAGAGAATCAACTGAATAATCCTAAACATTATGCCATTTTACCGAAACCAATTTTCAAAGAAACTGCTAACATGATTAATAACATTCTTGCCGATTTAGTCAAAACTAGTTATCTCAAACAGAAACAATATGACTATCTGTCTGCCAAACCTGATTGTCGCGAGAGACATTTGTACACTTTGCCTAAAATCCATAAGAATCCAACCAAGGAGTGGTTTATCTCGAATAAAATCCCTAAAGGCCGCCCTATTATATCTGACTGTGGTAGTGAGTCATATGCAGTGTCAGAATACATTGATCATTTCTTACTACCTCTAGCATGCCAACATCGCGCCTACCTTAAAGACACAACCGATTTTGTCAA